CAGCAAAGGGCCACAGGTCGGAATTGAACCCGGGCTACTGAGGTAAAGACTCAGCCTACATGGACCAGGGCTCTACCAGGTGAGCTATACTAGGCACCCCTAAACTGGGAGTTAATTAAAGGACCAGTGTGTANNCAAGCGTGTAGGAGAAACTACAGAGGCTGCGAAACTCAAAGAAATCACAAAGGGCCCTATCTAAAGTCAGTGTGTTCATTCTAGGCTACTGTAAAAATATGGAAGTTCAACAAGGTGGACTCTGTAGAAGAGGACCCGATTCCTCTGTAGATGAAAAAAAGCTCATTCTAAGGTCCAGAAAAACACAACTATTCTCATTTTAGGTTGGTTTAGTCAAGTTTGCATTCATACTACTAATTGCAGAAGCTTGACATTTCAACCATTTATCCAATACTTTTATATTATTTCAGCTGTTAATACATTACTTTTAGCAAACTGTTTCAACTATTTACGTAATACCTTTAGGTATCTATTAATCCGTTAGTTACCTATGACAGCACTCATGCATTACATTTAGCTATCTATTTAGACTTCTCTGCTTGCTTGCTATTAATTATGTTTACGCACTCTTAATTGCAACACGTGGTGTTAAGGTGTTTTAGCTGACTTCTTTATATCGAATCGTAATTTTTTTTAAGATTAGTTGAACTGCTCCACAATCCTTCCACATACCAACTGAAGTAGAAGAATCCCTGGTTGGGCATCTACTGTCATATAAAATGTGACTGATTCCTCTAAATGTACTGGGTATGAGTAACGAAAGAAGATAGTCAGTGTTTTTGTCACATGCAAATAATAATAATTTAGTTTTCAGGGTTCATGAGATCAAACTGTAAAAGACAGTTGTTGAGCAAACACTTCACTATTTTTAATCACTCAGTTTAAAAAAAAAAAAAGCTCTCTTAAACTCTCTGAAGGAGTTGACAGTTTGCTGTGATTTCTCTCTGCTCCCTGTTATCAGCCTGAAAAAACTTATCAGACACACACAGGAAGCTTTCCTTGGGCTTGCCTCTAGCAGGACAAAGAACCTGACATCACTCCGCCTTTTCCCTCTCACATCCTCTGAGCCTAAAACAGCTGAGACAGAGGGGCAGGGGGATACAAAAGGTCAAGGTGAAACGGCCACCAGAAAAAGTCGAGTTTCCACTCAGAGTCGAGAGTCCCTTTGTTCCCTCGTAGTCTGACTTTTCAGTGGTTGGCTTAAACAGGCAAAAAAAGAGAGTCTCACCTCTGAACTCCTCATCGGTTAACCTCTTATCATGACTTTGGAGGTACTCCAACAGGCCCTCGAGGGCCTCGCTGTCTGCACGTGACACACAGTCGAAGAGGAGAGAGCGGTTGAATGTTTTCATCACTTTTGGGGGGTCTGAGCCTTGATCGACCTGATCATCACAGGACATCTCAGTTTTACTGAGGGGACACAAAAACATGACATGATGTTCCTATGTCGTACTGTAACATGCAAACTGATCTGGAAATCGCTTTGATTCTTTTCACATTTCATTGACAGAAAATTAAGAATTGAATGAGTGTTTGGTGCACAAAACATCTTTTAAGAAATCGCCCACACCCTCGAGTGCTCCAGTAAATAGACCTCTGTGTGTAAGGGACAGGTAGAGCAGCCAGGAACAGGCAGCAGTCTAAATATTACCTCAACTGCTGCAGAGGGACCAACAACATGCTCTCTGTTAGATCAGTGAATGGGCTGAATGAGGGACTGCTTAGCCCAGTGTGTGTGTGTGTGTGTGTGTGTGTATACATACTTCCTCATGTGGCACACCTCTGTCTACAGAGCGGCAGTTGTAGGAGGTTTTTTGTTTTTATGACATTTTTCCAAACCAGACCTTTTGTCCCTGGAAAGAAATCCAGTCTGGGTTCACTGCTGGTGAGACAGTAAAAGTAAACCCCTAAACTAAGAAATCTAAAGGAACACACAATTATTAAATCCTGGAAACACAAGAGTGAGGCCCCTTCTCACCCTCTTGGGAGCTTCTTCCTGCGTCGCTTCTGGTTGCTAGTGTTCCTGTAGGTGCCATAGTCAAAGAGCGAGTCCATGGGTGCTTTTTTGGGGCCTTGAACCACATTTGACTCATATATAGTTGATTCCAATAGGTCCATAGGGTTGGAAATGCCCTTCTTGAAAGCACCCTGGAACTTCATCCGCAGGTTCTGTCTGCTGTCCGCGGGCTGGCCAGGCTGAACCAGCTCCGCGGCTGAACCCTGACTCGTGTCCTGAGTTGACGGGGTGCCGTCCTCGCTCTCAAACAGGCCTGAGAGTTCACACAGGGGTAACGCTGCGTCGCTCTCAGGCTGTGCAGCCCCGCCATCGCCATCTGTAGAGCTGAGGGTGTCAGTCTTGGACAAGGCAAGGTGACACCTTCTGAGGAGAGCAGAGCGGCCCTGAAAACAGCAGGACAAAATGTTCTGAGTGAGCCGCATGGCCTTTGGGTAGTCAGGAACTGCTTGTACAAATGGAAAAAGAAGTCTTAAAGAGTTTTCTTGACAAGTGTGTTGGATTTAGTGGCATCTAGTGGTAAAGTTGCAGATTGAAAACAAACTGAATACAGCTCAACCTTCCAAGCATGCAGGAGAAACTATGGTGGCTGTGAATCTTGTGAAAGACCCGATAGAGCCAGTGTTTGGTTTGTCCATTCTGGGCTACTGTAGAAACACTCATCTTCTAGATAAAAACAGCTTATTCTAAGGTAACAGAAACACAA